GCTCCTGCTGGCCACACCACTCCTGAGACAAGCCAGGATGCCGCTGGCCCTCTTGGCCACCTGGGCACCCTGCTGGCTCATATTCAGCAGGCTAAAATCCAAGCGACCTGGTAAAACCTTGCAGAGACTTCCAGCCGGCAGTAGCGCTGGTCCTGCACACTGGGTATCTCAGGGGCCACCATCTCCTCGCAGCCATAGCCGCAGCGTGACTCGGTTGCTCTGCAGCGGTGGGAGGAGTAATCACCACACAGCCCCCAAGAACCAAAGCCAGAATTCCACAAACACCTCCAGAGACCAAAGAGCTTCTGCACAGCAGAGGTCCGAGCCCCGCCAGCACCTGCAAAGGCCGCTCCTCAGCAGGAGGGATGGAGGTGGACTCAGTAGCTAACTCACAGCACACCCCACTCCTCCATCTGCTCCTTTGGTAATGGGCGTTTTCTTCCCACTCCTGACTTGGGAGGGAATACAGCGAACACCGACGGGAGATTTGATAAATGCCTACTCCAGAGTTGCGGAACTCTGACAGCGTTTAAAACAAAAGGAGTTTCTACACAGGGCAATGATAACTGAAAAAGGTTGAACACCACATGCGAGTTGAATGGCATTCTTCGAACAGAAACATAATTACGTATTTCATAAACTCACCTCCCAGGGTCTGATAAAATATCATTTTGATAATAATTTCCATACGATTTGCAAACCAAATATGATAACCTTCTGCGCAAAAATCGATAAAAAATTGAAGCACTGAAAAATACTGGCAATTTCCGCAAAATGTGGATGGAAGTCTCTTGCAGAAAAAAAGAAAAATAAAGAAGGATTTTCACCGCTTCCATCTGCAAGAATAGGACAAATCCTGCCAGACACTTCCCCCCAAAACCATCTCCTCCTGAAGGCTGTCTGGACGTGAGAATCCCACAGTATATTGTCAGGTTTCATACATAAAACATGCATATATAAAAAATGAAGACTTAAAAATAAATGCCGTATCACCCCTTCCAGCCAGCCACTGCCTCTCAGTCACAACTGAAACACACTGGAGATGCCCCCCTAAAGAACCAGGCCCATAAAGATGATGGGGAGACTGGAGCATCTCCCCTAGGAGGAAAGGGTGAGGGAGCTGGGCTTGTTCAGCCTGGAGAAGAGAAGGCTGAGAGGGGATCTCATCAACACGGACAAATATCTCAAGGGTGGGGGTCACGAGGACGGAGCCAGACTCTTCCCAGTGGTGCCCAGCGCCAGGACAAGGGGCCATGGGCACAAACTGAAGCAGAAGAGGTTCCAGTTGAACGGGAGGAAGAACTTGTTGACTGTGAGGGTGCCCGAGCCCTGGCCCAGGCTGCCCAGGGGGGCTGTGGAGTCTCCTTCTCTGGAGATCTTCAACCCCCGCCTGGCCGCTGTCCTGTGCCCCCTGCTCTGGGTGAGCTCCAGAGGGCCCTGCCAACCCCTGCTACTCTGGGATTCTGGGATTCTATGGTCAAGCAGAATGTATCCAAGAAGCAAAATAACTACAAATCATACACTATCTGTATTTAAGACACCCAAAAGTAATTACTGGCAGGTAAGAGCAGTTCTCTGATGGCTGGGAACAGCAAGCAGCGGCTTGCTGATCCCACACCCACCCTGCTCTCCTGCCTGGCCCTGATGGGTGCTTCTCCCCGGCAGCCCCGCTGACAACAGCCACACAAACGCTGGTGAGATCCAGGGCAGTCCTGGTTAAGAGAAGCCAAATTTCATGGGCGACAACTCCAAGGGGCTGCGGCTCCCACGGAGCTGCGTGCTGAGGTTTAAATACGGCAATGCAAAAAGCTCTGGTGTCTTAGCCTCTTTTTTTTTTGTCTTTTACTTTCTGAAGCATTAAAATTGAATGGAACTTTAATAGGAAGGTCATAAAAACAGCTAATGTTCAAACGTGGCCCCGCCAAGCCTCCTGTATTTTGCTGCAGTATCCCCATCTGAGACTACCCAAACCAGCCCCCTGCTCGCAGGCAATTAATCGGCAAAAAATACTGCGAGTCTCAGACAGCTGTAACAGGAGAGCAAGGGCGAGGGAGAGAGACCGAGGTTCCGGCTGACAAAGAAAATCTATAAACAGGTAAAATGAAGAGAAATCAATTTTCTCTCCTGAATCCCAGATGAGAAAATAGAGATTTTTATGGAAAAAAAAAAAAAAAAAATACCAGCCGTGTGGCTGCTTTCTTGATACGACGTTTTAGTTGGACAGGGTTTTTTTTAATTTTTCCTTTTTTTTGATCCAGCAGCATCATAAGCTTTGTTACTCCTTGAGACGGCACCTTCCGTAGCTGCTCCAAAGCGCTTCCCGACGGATAACAGCCCCGCTCGCTTTGAAGATGCCTCCAGCCTGCAGGCAGGCAGGTTTGAGAGGGAGCTTTGATTTCTGCTGCGCCCAACCTCGCGGGCTGCTGGTCAGCTTTGCCGGAGCAGATGGAGGAGGTTGTTTGAGAAAGAAACAACCTCCAAGGAAGCACCCTGGAAGTATCCGTCTACCATTATCCTGGTGCTTCTCTGCCTGCACGCAGCAGGCGACGTACCCGCACCCAACCACAGGGCACGGCAAAAACCGCCGCCCCCAGAGCCAACTGCTTTGGACCTTAAAAAGTTGTTAAATAAGCCTGGGTAAGAAAAGTTTGGGAAGGGAGAATAAATCCCAGAATCCCAGACTGGTAGGGGCTGGCAGGGCCCTCAGGAGCTCACCCAGTGCCACCCCCCTGCTCAAGCAGGCTCACCCAGAGCAGG